ATTTTATTTTGTATTATTTTATTTTATTTATTTCTTTGTTCTTTTTCTGGATATCAGTTTCAGTTTTCAAACTGGCGTCTCTAATTTTGCTCTTGTTCAGGTGAATCCTCTCAGACTCTGTCCCTGTTCGTCCTGAGACCCCAGCAGACCTCTGGTGAACCCCTGAACTCTGCAGACCTACTCAGTCAAGAAGTCTGTCTGGCAACAGATTTCCGTTCAAAAGTGACTGTGAATGAGAAAGAGGGTCCGGCCAATGTGAGCACTGACGATGCTGTTCAGCCAAAGAACCAAAACCACTTTGATGAATTCAGTAACAAAAACAACCACTCCTGTGGGATGAACATCAGCAACAATGAAGGAGGTACCAAACTCACAGAGTTTCATCCGAGTTTTTATAAATCTATTTGTTTCAGAGAGTTTGAAAAATTTTCCATCCAAATCTAACACTAAATATCACAATAAAGCTGAACATTTAAATAGGAAACCAGGCTGATAGTTTTCAACAGATTTTTCATGGTGTTTGTGTGACTGATGTCCTTTCTGTCTCCAAACAGATGATGAATGTGGAGACTTTGATCCAGGTCAGTCTGATCTCTTCCTGTCTCAGTTTGGTTCCATCGCTGCTGTCAGCTGTTTGTGTTCAAGTCTGAACTCTGTTTCTCTGTCGTCCAGAAAAAGCCAAGCTGAACTTCTACCTGCTGCTGATGAACGGAGTCCGAGTGGTGTTCACCAAAGCTCTGGCCTTCAGCACCGTCCTCACCATCAGAGGCCTGATCTTCTGAAACTGAGCCTTCCAGGCCACCATATAGGCCATGACGAAATCTGTTGAATAATTGTTTCTGTCACCTCATTGGAGCACATTTACTCCATTTATCTTAGCAAAATCCTTTACATGTTGTGTCAACAGTAAAAGAGAAGGCAGCAGCCTGCAAAATCCTGAATATTAAATGTGAACAGTTTCATTAATAATAGATAAAGATCTAAAGAAATCACAGACAAAACCTGAAATCTAAGTACAAAATCAAATCCAGAGAAACGTTACAACTTTTTAAAGTTGTCTTTAGATACCAAATTTGACAACAAAAAAGGAAAAATGGGTCAAAAACAAAAAAAAAAAAAAAAAAAACTTTTGATCTTATTTTTCTTGCATTCTCAATAATGTTTCCTATCATGTTTATTATGCTTTCCTATGTATAGACTGGTGTTTTATTAAAATATGTTCTTCCAAATATAATCTAAATTAAAAAAAAACATGTTTCAATACACATTTTGAATTAAAAAATGTAAATAAAATTCAAATGGATTTGAATATCAGTGAAAAACAATCATATTTAATTTAAGATGTGAGCACAAATATGAAGTGATGATCACAGAATCAAGGCCAAATGTGCAAATAGCATATTTAGAAAAGCAGAAATTTGTTATTAAGATATGTTTACCAAATATACTCTATGGAACGTTATTTGTTTCTGCTTCATTGTTCTACATTGTAATGAACAAATAAAAATGGATAATGGGTAGTTTTGTTTATTTAAGTAGAGGACAAGTTCCATTGAAAGATTTTTTAATTAAATGCCTTTTTTTCAGAAATTAAGATGTGCAAATCAAATATTCCAGATTTATAATTTTATCAGTTAGAAATTTCTGTTTGATTTTGTGTATTCAGATGTTTTTCCATTAATCTTTCAAACTTACCGTAAGCTTTTCAATCTTCTCAAGCAAGTAAAGTCCAAACTTTACTTGGACTGAGTAAATTGTTTTAACTTTATTCAGTTCATCACCCCTCACGCCTGCACTCAGGTTATTTTCAGCACTAATTACATGCTTTAATAATAAACTTGATGAATCAGACGCAGCATCGTTTTCCTCACCCCAGTTTTTAGCACAGAAGTTTCATCAGTTGAAGCCACGAATCAACAGGAAGCTGAAAATCTGACAGAAACCAAACAGCAGCTCAGTTTCACATGGACAGAAAACACTCTGGTTAACCTCAGCGCCGCTCCTTTCTTCTCTTCTCAGAACCTGCAGAATCTTTTCACATCTGTTGATTTAAGTCGTTGCAGGTTGTTACATCCGTCTTTAAAACAAATATAATTAATTGTTCTACTACAATCTATGTTTCCAATCTTAAATTGTCTAGAATACTTTTTCATTTATTTCTAGACTTTCTCTAAGAATACAGAATATATGGGATGATATAAAGAAACTTAATTTACAATAATTTCAGATGAGGATGAGGATGTGAAGGTTTAAAGAGTGACCAGATGACCCAACGTGACCAGCGTGTGTCTTATTTTGCCAGCAGCTGGATGAAGCAGGTCCTGGATGAAGAAAAAGTTCTGTCTTTCTTTCTTTTTCCTATTAAAAAGTGTCTCTTCACACTACTGGACATGAACAATTGACTTATGACTTTATCAACCAGAGGAGGCGCTCTTAGACCATAACGCACTTCAAGGCAGTTGAAAGGAAAAAAAAAAAAAAAAAACTTTGTAAGATAAACTGAGCTATATGTTATAAATATTATCTGTAATGAATTATACCAACCTGGTTGTTAAACACTGTACTATGTTTGAAAGTTTCACATCACTTTTTTTAAGCAATTACATATTTACATTTTTTTAATCATCATAAAACAATTACATTACTTATATATTTTTCAGACCTGTTGTAAGTCTGTAGTGAGATGCTAAAGTCTCATCTTTGGTTTCAAAGTAACTCTCAGGCTGTGCTGACAGTGAACCGTCGGGCCTTTTAGTCTTTAGAAGTGAAATCATATTTGTTGTGTTGTTTTGGTCTCATTTGGATGTTTCATCCATTTTCTATATGTACTAAGTCCTTAAGTCAATAAGTGGGTTGAACCCTGGAGACGTCACAACTGCAAAAATGGATCAGATACAAGTTATTTTCCTTCAGTGGGAGGAGTTAATGTTTCCATCTTCATATATCTGATTTGAGGTTTATGTTAGTCAGCTGCAAACCTTGAGGGCTGAACAGAGACAAAATGTCTTCAATAGTGATCAGACCTGAAGTTGTGTTTGCTTTTCTTATCCTGTTGTTGAACTGGACAGGTGAGAACAAAGACTGTGTCAAGATTCTTCTAAATACATTATTTGATCTCAATAGCTAACCTGTTTTCTGTCTGCAGGACTTAATGGTCAAACACTGACTGAGTCTGAATCAGTGGTGAAAACACCTGGAGAATCCCACACACTGACCTGCACACATTCAGGGTTTAGTGGAAAACCCTGGATTGCTTGGATCAGACAAGTTTCAGGAAAAGGACTGGAGTGGATCTCAACTATTGACAGTGGTGGTGGTACCGCCTACTCTCAGTCAGTGAGAGGCCGGTTCACCATCTCCAGAGACGACAGCAGAAGTCAGGTGTATCTGCAGATGAACAGTTTGTCTGCTGAGGATTCTGCAGTTTATTATTGCGCTAGAGATCCACAGTGACACAGACAGTAGAAACACAGTACAAAAACCTGCCAGTGAATGACTAAGAGTCGCCACTGGAGGAGCCATAACACACTTTTGCACAGTGCTTTTCACATGCTTTGATGCATTTTTCTTTTCAGAAATGAAACAGAAATATCAAATAAAATTTTATTTGTATAGCACATTTCAGCAACAAGGCTTTTCAAAGTGCTTTACATCATAAAAAATACTAAATCATAGAACACAGTTAATTGAAACATTACATTTTGACATTGTTACATGTCAGATTGTTCATTAATGAATAAAGTACAATAACTCATAACTGATGGATGAACCTCCACAACACTGACTCGTTTCTCATTCCTTCCAACAATTTGCAAATCTTTTTGAACATCAATTGCTTCCCTGCTGTTTCATAACATTACCATTTGCATAGTTGTCAGTCAAAATGAACTTTGCTCAAGAATAATGAATTTTCTTTCCCTATAAAACTAATACTCCTTGTTTCATTACTTGTGTCAGATCTTTTTTATCTCATAATGGGGAGGAGTTTATGTAAACCCAGATGTTCTCTACTTCTATTTATGACTCTGTTGATCCTGACTGAACAGACTTGACTTCAACATGAAAGGTTACAGGACAGGGCTGCTGCTGCTTCTGGCTGTCTGCTGGACAGGTGGAGATCATCACTGATTATCGTTCCTTTGTACAATCACTACAGTGTCTTTTCACTCCTAAAGGAAGTCATTTTTATTGCATTTACAGGTGTTGATGGTCAGACTATAACACAGTCTGAGTCAGTGCTGAAAAGACCTGGAGAATCCCACAAACTGACCTGTACAACCTCTGGACTCTCATTCAGTAGCTACTGGATGGCTTGGATCAGACAGGCTCCTGGAAAAGGACTGGAGTGGGTTGCTACTGAAGCTGGGTTCACCCAGTACTACTCACAGTCAGTCCAGGGCAGGTTTACTGTCTCCAGAGACAATGGCAGAGAGCAGCTGTTTCTGCAGATGAACAGCCTGAAGACAGAAGATTCAGCTGTTTATTATTGTGCCAGAGACTCACAGTGACTGAAGTGGGTTAAACAGCTGTACAAAAACCTCAAGTGCATTTATTATATGCTACATGGAAAGAAATACTAATGATAATAATATGTGGAGAAGATACCAAAGGAATCCAAAAGGCTGTTCTGCTAACGGCCATTCAAATAATGTGATGAATCTTTGGCTGAACACCAGATAGAGATTAAACCTGAGGTCCCTGGTTGACCCCTTTATGAATGAACCAACAATAAATGAAGAAATGCTCAAAAAAAAAGTAGTAATATTCATAAAAAAGGAATAATAAAAACTCATTCTACTGGAACACAATATAAAAAATGATTTTAAAACCCAGACTAATATTTTTAAGCATTTATTTTTGTTAATTTTGATTGGCTAACATGACATTTAAGATTAGAATACTACATTAGATCAATAAATAAGAAAATAATTTTAATACAGAAATGCCTCATGAAAGGTATGTTTACAGTTTTTGTCTGTGAATAAAACTTGATGTGCCGCTCAGAAAATAATTGACATTTTTAAAACTACTTATTCAATCTTATTGTGTTTCTTGTGCAAGTGATTACATACAATTCTCCTGTTTCTGAATCCATGCAGTTTTGCTGTTTGTATGAATTTTTTTGAGAAATACACTTAATGTTTGCCAAATGTCAAAAATGTATCTGAGACCAACCAAAGCAGCTGAAGAAACCTGTATTGTGTTTCATTTCTATAAATTAGAAATGTTCAGCTCTGTTTTTCTTCAATTTCTTCTTTTACCTAAATCTCAAGTTACATCCTGGTTTTAACCTGCAGTATGAGGGGAGGGTCTATGCAAACTCTTCTTCTCTTAAAAGCAAACCACCAGCAGGTTATCATACAGAATATAGCTGAGCATAACAAACAATTTAACTTATTTCTAACAACACCAATCAGCTATAAGCAGGTTTTTGCTCTAGGATGGAAAAAACAGCAATCTGGAGTTTTCTTTTTGTTGTTTTGATTCACAGTGAGGTTTTCAGTCCATTATTCTGATATTTATCAAATTATTTACAGCTCTGCCAGCTAATGATGCTACTTTTTTCTTACAGGAGTCTGGAGTCAGATCAAACTGGAGCAGTCAACCTCTGAGGTGAAGAGACCTGGAGAGACAGTGAAGATGTCTTGTGTCATTTCTGGTTACAGCATGACAAGCTATAATATCCACTGGATAAGACAGAGACCAGGGAGAGGACTGGAGTGGATTGGGTGGATGAACACTGGAAGAAATGATCCCACCTATGGCAGCTCCTTCCAAAGTCGTTTCATCATGACTGAAAATGTCCCCAGCAGCACCCAGTACCTGCAGATCAGCAGCCTGACAGCAGAAGATTCTGCTGTTTACTTCTGCGCTCGGCAGACACAGTGACTGAAAGCAGAGGAACAGCTGCACAAAAACCTCGACAGCAAACAACGACAATGTGAAGCCTGGACCAGACACTTGGTTTTATGGCAAATTGATAGTGACAGAATATATTGATGAATATCGTGTTTTTGTATTTATTTATTTATTTACGATGGATACTAGTTAAAACATTTAACTCTAAATTACATCAGAAATAGTATTTAGTAAAGTGACAATGCAAAAAAACCCCCCAAAAAACAAATAGAATTTAACTATTAATAATATGTCACATTATTCTCTACATGTATATTTTGTTGTTTCGCACAAATACATTGAAAGAAGAAGTAAGAGGTTACTGGTAAAAACTGTTGTAAAATTGAAAACTGTATCTTTGCCAAGTGAAAACATAAATCGAAATACCTTTCACATCTCATTATTTCACAGTAAGAGTGAAAATGCTGAACAAAACTATTAAGTAAACATAGGCCTCCACCAGGCATAAAATGTATGGACAAAGAATAAATAGTTATCTTTTTATTGTTATTATTTAGAAAACCAGGAACGTTTGAACATATATGTCTCAGTACTGCTCAGGAATACAACTTTGTTCTCTTAAAAATATATCTTGTGCAAAACACAAACACACAAGGCCTCTCCACAAAAATATTTTGAGAAAATTGCTGCAATTTTTAGTATATTTCTTTAATTTTCTTCTTTTCTTTTGAGAACTTTAAGGAGTCTTAAGGAAGTTGTTCTGTTGAGGTAATATTAATGCAAATGACCAAGAAATATAGACAATCTGACTTAGCTGGGAATCCCATCATACATAGTCTGAAGGAGGCATCATTTACTTAAACAAGAACATTTTCAAAAACACGACAGAAAGACAGATTAGTTTGAGGGAGATAAGGCTGCATCAAGCAGCTCTTTTAATGATTTTTTTTTCATGTTAGTTAAACAAGCAAATTTGAATAAAGGAGCAAAATAAAGGGTGTTTGTGTTTTATCTTCACTGACAGTGACGTAGGTTTATGTAACAGTGTCTGTCACAGTGATGGGGGCACAGTGGTACACGCCCATGCAAAAACCTCAGCACAAACCTATGAAAAAAATCTATTAGAAAATGATATTATTATTATACATGTCTAATAAGCATGTATATATTTACTGTATAAATATTGAAGTAAGCTGTCTGGTAATTAATGTGAAAAACCTGTTTTATTCTAAAGATACATGATATTAATACATCCTCATTTTTTACTAAGACTTGATTAACAACAAATCCTAATAAGCTATTAATATAATGTAACAAATATGCCACACAATCTAACAGAGTCCTTTGTGTTTTTTTTAAAGTTGCACGTTTTGTTTGTTTATGATTTGATATGTTTCACCTTCCTCGTGTTTTTGTTCAGGAAGTCAGTGAAGACGTAGCACTGTGACTACGGCTTTGATTACTGGGGAGATGGAACTGAAGTTACTGTTGAACCAGGTAAGATCATTTAATCACATCAATAATTATTATGCTTTGTTTATTAGTTATTGATAATTAACAAAAACTGTAAAATTTTAATATAATCTTTTAACTTTTGAGTTTGTCGTTAAATAAAATTGTGAATATTTAAGTTGTTGAAGATGTTTTGTGATAGAGAAGCAGACATATTTTGCTTTAAAGCGGTGAAACTGAGAAAGAAAAAAGCTCATCGAGCGTCAATATTTTTAGCAGTCTCGTCATGAAATCTTTCATAAATTCACCATCTCAAAATCTTACAGTGTTGGTCAAATCAGCTAAAAAATGTTCAAAAAAGTTATAATTTTACAGTCAACAAAATATCGTTGAACAATTTGAAATTTTAATATTTCATATTTACATCAGACTTTAACTGGGTCACAAATAAACGGATATTAAACGCGTATCAATGCGGCATTATTATGTAATGAAACTGTTTCAAAACCATTCCGTAGGATCACAAAGACTTTGCTGTTTATATGTTTTGAGGCTATAAATTACACCGATGTAGGGCGAATTGTTGAAAGTGGTTCAAGTCACCCGAGTTCACTTCACCAGGACCAAACTCTCCAGTTAAGTAACTAATTTTCCAGGAGCCCGTTGGATCGCTACGTGTTCAAATCACGGCGGCATATCCTTAAACATTTTGTAGACAGACTCCTTTATTCGTGAATTATATGATGCCGATTAATCTGGAGCGCCCCGAAAAATCCATCAGGATCAAAAATGGTTCACGTTTTGATTCATTTTTCCGACTGCAATCTCTCACTAATCAAAACACAATAAGTTCAAACCTCCTCAGACTTTCTGCCCGGCGAAAAAAAGAGATACTCTAGAGAAGATAATTACAATTTGGCAGTGTGTTAATTGTATTAATTAAATGTTTATATGAGAAAATAAAAATCATCAAATGGAATGGAAATAAAAAAGAAAAAAAAGAAGATTTATTTTATTCAAATATTCAATCTACTAATAAAACTGTATATTATACACGTTTCTCTTGGGCTATGCTGCATCGTAAAAACACGATCGTTTTGTTCTAAATGACACAATCAAAGTAAAAGTGATGCGACTGCAGGAAAAGAAAAACCTGAACTTAAGCTGTC